TCCTGCCCTGGCCTGCTCAGTCGCCAGACTTGAACCCGATTGAGCATGCATGGGATATGCTACAGAGAAGAGCTCTGCCGAATATGGAGGGTATCCAGTCGCAAGAAGACCTTTTTTTGTTGTTGCAACGAACATGGGCGGCCATTCCACAGCGTGATTTGGATGAACTCATTTTGAGTATGCCAAACCGATGTTCTTGTGTTGTTAGTGTTCGCGGTAGAAATACGGATTATTAATTGTTTAAGTTACCCAATAAAATTTTAGAGAAAACTGTTATTTCAGTCTTTTTTTCGAACTTTTGTGTTAGTGGTTCAAATGTCAAAAATCCCTTTATTAGGAAAATGGCAAATTTCTTTATTAATGCAAAGGTGACTTGGTTTATCGTTACTGTGACAAACGAAAACACTTTATTTGATGAATCCTTAAAGAAAATTTTAATTAATATCAATCAGGAGAAAAGTTATTGCAAAAATATATGTTGATCCCTAGACACTTTTGATGTGTATATATTGTTTTTATTCTATCAAAGATTTACGTATCTTCTTCTGGAGAGGTTCTTTATCAATATTTCTTGGGTATAAAATCTGTGACGATATTATAATCATTTCTAATTCGATGTATGATTTTGATGTGATGGTTGTTTGCTGACTAAATATATATCTCAGTCAATTCAGCATAAGAATAACAGTATATGGCGTAAATGCCTGCCCTGTATCCTGTATCTGATAGTCATTTGTAGGTTTATGTTAGTAAAAGTATCTTAGATCTTACAATAGAAGTTATTCTTTATTTGTTGATACTTAAGCTCCTTTTCTGTAAAAAAGACCGTATATAAATAGTACAGAATCGACCGAGAAATCCTTAAAAGGTACATGCGTTGGTACATACATACGTTCTAAGAAATCAATAGTTTTAATAGTCGACTAATAAACGAACAGTTTGCGAATTCTTTCTCTTCTCTTTGACGGCAGATTTTTGCTAAAATTCTCAACTCGGAGGATGGTTTTTAGCGCTTTTTTAAAGGTTTTGACGTTTATTAACTAGCGGAAGGAGCTGTAATGGTTTTACTGTTAGCTCTGTTATTTTTATGCGTTATTATTTTAGAAAACATGTTAGACCTAAAAGGGTATAAAATCTGAAGGCCTTATGGATGTACCATGTGGTACATTGATAAGTTTCTTAACCCTGTTGTTCTTTTCAGCGAAAAGATGTCCTGCACTGGTAATAAACCAATTTTTTAAATCATCATCATTATCATCACTGCTGGTGCATAGGCCTTCCCTAAGGATGGAATAGGGAGATTGGGCCATGACCCACCACGCAGGCCCAGTGCAGATTGGTGGGTGCTAACGACTGCAGATGCAGCCGGGACCAACGGCTTAACGTGCCTTCCGAAGCACGGAGGATCTCGAGATAGTAAATTTTTGGTCACCCATCCAGTGACCGACCCCTGCGAAATTTGCTTAACATCGACGATCGCTGCCGAACGCGCAAACTACTTGCGCCATCGAGCTCCTCAATCTTTCGTGCAACCGAATTTTTTTTTTTATTAATTTATGAAGAATAAGATTGGATTACAAGTATCTGTCATTCAATGATATGTACGAAACACGGCGTAACTAGTCTAAGTTATTCCTCCTTACAAAAGTCAGTATATGAAAATGAATGGAACCGTTTTTGAAGTACGAAGTGAAGAAGTGGAATCGAGAATGTACTTCACACCGACCAGCCGACTGCAACTTTATAAGGCACAGTTTCGGCCTCACATGGAGTACTGCTCTCATCTTTGGGCGGGGGCACCCCAGTACCAGCTTCGCCCTTTAGATCGCATCCAGCGCCGAGCGGCTCGAATCGTCGACGACCAGGACACGTTGAAACTCGGCGTACAAACCACTCGGTCACGGAGGTCGTCAATTATGCATTTACTTTGATTCATAATAACAATACCTATCAATTTATGCTTGAGTTTATAAATAGTTTAGTTTAGCTTATTATAGTGCAACTAGGATACACATATGAGGTCAGAATATAATGATATTCCCCTCATTATCATATCTATGAGCATAATCATTATTTATTTAAGTATTTGTGCGAACGCAATCATCTTCATTAATATAAAGTGCATGTTTTTATATACCTACTCATATGTTCAAAAATTCCTGTCAATTGTATAAAATAAAGTAAGCAAGCATCTTAGCATTTTATTCTTGTACTTTTAAATTTAAATATTTCCTTTGACATTAAAAATAAAAGGTATGAAATGAAATGAAACGAAAAGTCATTTATTCAGTCTAGGTTGTTACAAGCACTTGTGAAGGTCAAGAAGCTACGCCATCGGTTCGCAAAATTACGGCGGGAGACCTTGTACTGAGAAGAACCGGCAAGAAACTCAGCAAGGGCTGCTTTTTTCTCCCTGTATTCATATATACAGAGTCGTCAAGTTGAAAAATGACTTCAGAGATACTTCTGAAGTCATCTTCCATTACATCATTTAGGATATAGATATATAGTTACAATAAATTTTATATTTAGTATATAGGAAGCGGCATTAGATAGGATTATTATTAGCGGGATTAGTGTCATTGGAATGTCTTAAATCATAAAAAAGTTCTCTTTTCCTTTATAATAATATGTAATGCCCTTCCATGTGTAAAAGTTAACAAAAATATTATAAAAATATTTAAATTTCTGTTTTTTTCACTTTAACAAACAAACAAACAAACAAAATCGTTTATTTAGTACAGTACACGGATACAGATAAAATAGTTATAGTTAAAACTTACAAAATAACTGATATCACTCCGTATCCACGGCTGCGCTGAAAAGGGCCCAGTTCAGCATAATGTCAGTGCAGTATGCACTGGCGCTGGTTTTCAACTGGGTCCTTTATCTGACAAGTGGATGCCAAACACTAACGATTTTTATATGCATATTAATATAAAATTTACTTTGAATTGCTACATCTAGCTTAGGTTATTTTTAATTATGCGTTTGTAAATGTTATTTTAAAAAAAAACTGTGTAATTCAATACTTTTATTATTCAAAAATTTTCTATAATTTTTCTACTATAAATAAGCTATTGAAACAATAAGAATTAAGTATTTAACACTATGGAAAAGTCAGATAACGTCAGCCCTCTAGTATGAGCACCGCAATATGATATATAACGCGCTTTTATCACGCTCAATTGTCAAATTACTATGAAGTTTGACAGTAAGACGCGATAAAAAACGTCATATAATGTAAATTGTGGTGCTCATGCTACGGGAGATGGCCTGTTTTTATTTTGACACGTCATCATCATGATCAGGTGAAAGTTTGACTTACGAAGGCTCTCTCGAGAATATAATTTGATAATGAGACTTTTAGGTTCAAAGATAATTTATTTCCCATAAAGACATATACAGTTCCACTTAGAATGAGAATATAAAAATAACATGCAGTTATGTATTACTTATTGCTCCTTCTGGAACATCGGATATTACAGCAATTTGATACTAATACTTAAGATTACCAGAGAGAGATTTCGGGTTCGAATCTCGGTAGGGGCAGATGTTTGTGTGATGATACGAGCATTTGTACTCCAGTTGTGAATGTTAAATATGTATTTATGTATAAATATGCTTATATATGTATTTTATCTGGAGATTGAAAAAGTAGCCCTTGTTTTTGTTGTTTGACTTGTCTGACTGACAACTTTATCCAAGAATTGAAAAATTAGCTCTTAGTCCAAAAAAAACCGGTCAATAATAGTAAGTTATTTGATCTTATGAGCATTCACAATGTTATTCTTATGTAAATAACAAAACAATTATTTATAATATAAATAAAAGAAATAAAACAAAATCGACTCGACTATTCCTTAGGCGGAAATAGAATACAAACTTTTCCTTACAGTGACAATACATATTTTGACGTGACAACGTCTTAAATTAGGTTGCGGCTGGGAGTCACTTATGAAAAAGTGTAACGCTCGGTAACGTTACGATGAGTCTCTCGTGTTAAGTTTAAGTTTACATGTACAATGTTTTAGTAAACAAAATATATTTCTGTAGTTAAAATTTGTGCAATTCTTATTTTCATTCAATTCCTTGTTCCTATTGTGCAATTTAATTATATTCATATCAATAAATATTCTACCGAGAAAAAGACGTTGTCACGTAAAATCTTCGCCCGTAAAACCGACTTTACAGGCAACCATTTTTTTTTTTTAATTTACTTTTAAACATGTTTTTTGCTATCACATTCCATTGACGACCTCCGTGGCCGAGTGGTTAGTACGCCGGGTTTCATGGTATCACCGACTCGAGAGGTCCCGGGTTCAAATCCCGGTGGGGGACAGATGTTTGTGTGATGAATACGATCATTTGTACTCCAGTCATGGATGTTTAATAGGTATTTATATAAAAAAAAAATACTTATATATGTACAGTATTCTATCCGTTACCCTAGTATCCCATAACACAAGCCTTATAGTGCTTACTTTGGGGCTAGGCTAAATGGTTTGAGTGTTGGAAATATTAATTTATTTATTATTATTTATTCATTCTTTAAAACCAAAACCTTTAATAGAAGAACGTATTAATGCAACACGAACTACGAATTTTCTAGATAGCCCTTAGAAAGCAAAGTCGTTTAATAAACGGATTTAACACGCTAGATAACTATCTGTCGAATGTGGGAATAAAAATGAAGAGAGAAAAATTGCAACAGTATCGGCGTAATCTAACACTCGGCGACTTAAAAAAATTATGCGTAAAAAACAAAAAGGCGAAGCTCTAAACTATAGAGTTACGATAATCGGCCGATCTATAACGTCGTATCGTTTTATTAATCGCAGGCGCAGTGGCAAAGTTCAACTGTCCCACCAGTCTCGCCGCGGTATCGCACGGCGCCGTTAGGGGGTGAGAGAGATATATGCGGGTGTCGGGTAGTGTGAGAGAGACAGCGGTAGTGTTAGATGTTGCGTTAGAACAGGCCACGCCCCTCGGCCGTGTAAGCGCGACGTCCTCCTCTCGGCGCATTCGTGCGCCCGCGCCGACTCAGAAGCACGCGGCACGAGTTACAGAGTAAATCATATTCGAAAATGGAATCGGCGCGAATCCACCAACGCTGATAATGCCGAAAGTGCGAAACCGATACTCATTGAACTGACTGTTTTTTTTTTTTAATAATCAGTTTTTTTTTAGTTCATCGAACTATTTTTTTTTTTTTTAATTTTTGTGGTTTTAAGTATAGTGTTTTCAGTTTTAAGTTGTTCAGTTAGTCGTCGCTCCTGTAAGTTGACTGTTTGCGAGGAAAGTGACTGGATTGTGACATTTTATGATTAAGCTGCATTGTAAGGCGCGTACGCGCTTACCTAGTGAAATTAATTGACTCGAATTTTTGTCTAATTAATTTAGTACTTTGTGAAGTGTATGTGGGATTTTTGTCGGGACGCACATTCCCTGATTTTCACACCAAAGAATTCAAGGTGAGTGGTCAAATCAGCATTATCATATTACGTTCCCAAACATGTCGTTCAAATTATTTTTAATTAAACCTTTAATATTTTTTCGGGATAAACGATTTCAAAGCGCGGGTATTCTGGACGTCGCCATACGAAAGACATCAACGGGTGCATCCTAAAATAATTATATTTATATTATTATAAAGTTCTATGTTTAGTTTTTCTTTAAAGTATAATTTTGTCTGTGTTTTAATTTCATTTTCGCCCGTTAACAACTGTCCATCATTTAACATTTTTTTTTTATCTCTTAATTAAGCGGAACTTGTCTATGATTAATGGATAACAGTTATAATAACATAAACACTTAGTGAAGAGCTAATTACTAATAATTAATTCGAGTTTTTATAATACATATATTAATAAAAATATGTTGACTATATTCAAAATCAATTACATCCGCTTAATAAATTGTAGTAACAACAAGACCTAGTACACATAATAGCTAGTAATAAACTGATAATTAGGATGCAATTTATGGAATACCTATATATGAAACACAAAATACCAGATCAATCATATTTTTCTTAAGAAAGAGGACACCTAAAAAGCGGGAACAACGAAAGAAATTTTACAAATATTTTCTTTGATTTATTACCTTGTTTCAAATAATTTAAGCACCTTTACAGATGTGTGTGAATGAATTTAATTATAACATCTCTTAAGATCCGTCTTCAAATGCATATCACATCCGGAAGTGCATTTAAATCTATTTTAAATTGACACACGTCAATTGTAAATATTTTCACTCCGTATTAAGGTACAAATGAAAAACATTTCGTTAAACACGCCTAATACGCGCATACATACATTGGTACAAATAATGATTTCGTATAATCGTAATGTCGAAAATTTATTGTTGTTACGTTAATCTAGTTAATAAACGGACTCACGAGAATGCAACTCTTAAATTAGCAATTAACTAAACTGTTTAATTTGTCAAAATGAAATTCGTAGTTCACTTTTTGTTACTAAAAAAAGCTATAAGGGAAACTACCCAATCATTGGCACTCTTCCTATAATTGGCACTTTTGAGTTTAGTTCGAAAAAAACAGGAAACAATAGATTGTAGGAATAATGCTGCCATTTTTTTAATTTCGTAACCATTCTAGGTTTTTCTTTTTAATATGTAACGACCTTAAATAATCTATTGTCTCCTTGGTTTTCTGAATTAAACTCAAAAGTGCCAATAATGGGACCAGTGCCAGTGATTGGATGGTTTCCCCTATTACTACTATTTTAAGATTGCCTTTCAAACTTGTGCACTGTTTATGTGAAATAATCACAATTAAAGGAGTTTCGTTACAAATAAAGAATTCAAGTAAAAAAAAATGGGTGCGTGTACTTATGTAGGCGCGTGAGAAGTTATCCTTCTTTGGCATCGTTTAAAATTAGTTTTTAATTGCATGCAAATAATTAATTACAATAAATTAATAAAAAGTCTGGAAAAGGACACAGTCAATAAAGTTCAGTTTTAATTTGAAAAAATAAATAAATAATCAAAATATTCAATTAAAATCGCTACTGAATATAATTTATTAGAACATATGTGATTTGCACTTGTATGAAACTCAAACACGTATTCCGAATATAAAAACTAGAAACATGTGGATAAATATTATAAATATGAATACCTATAACTGTTACTTTATTACAAAAAATAAAGATGTGGTTTTTGGTTCTACTACACCAATGGTCAAGAGGTGGCGCTGTAGTCTCCTGAAATTTTTTTCATAACGCGCCTAAAGAAGTATAACTTCAATAACGAAAGTAGTTTTAGTAAGTAACGGACGGGATATGAATCTCCACATAACGTAGATGTTAATACTGTGATCTTAACATCAACATCTTGAGAGAAAGAGTGGAGTTTCTATTCATAAAATGCGATATGATATGAATGAATTATATTATTAGAAAACAGTATTAGCTTTGAAAGCGTGTATATTTTTCATAGGAATAATTACTGAACGACTACTTCTATGAATAGATATATAGATGGCGATTGAGTTGAAATGTAAGTTAGTTAAGATATAAGATATTAAATCTTTATTTGTATAAATGCCGAGCTAACTCTCTCGTCTTGTGTCTCTTTCACTACGTTACTTTAGCGAAATCTTTGTGTAAAACGGAGACAGCCAAAGACAAAAAATACGTATATGTATTTTCATCGTTCAATCAATATTGTTTTTGTTTGTCTGTATTTATAAACTTACTTAAGGAGTTAATCTATTAAGGGCTAATTTTTGATCGTTGGGTAAAATTTATTTGACTTATAAAATACGGATTAAATGAAGAGTAAGTTTCATTTTTGATCCACGTAAATGCAAATTTATTATCTTTATCTTGGGTTAAAATCAAATTTGGCACATAAGTTTTATCTGAAAATGGGAAAATCGACGCTGGATGAAATATAATATAAAGATTATTGAAATTTTATGCTACAATTATATTTAATTTTACTAACAATTTAACAATAAATTTAAAATACAAAGATTATGTACCTAGCAAATGAGCAGAACTTATATTCGTGTTAATTGCAATTATTTTAAAACATTTTCAATTTTGTATAAATTAGTACGGTTGGAAGTTAAGCCATTTCTTTGCCGATCTGCAATACAGAAGTGTATATTAAGGATTTTTTGAATAACTAAGCATCTGGTGCGAAATTTGATCAAACCACCAAAACAAACCGTGCCGACTTCAATTCTCGGTCAGAACATTGTAAAAAATTGTCTTGTTAATTCTTGATTAGATGAATAAGGAACTTATAATAGTTTTCGCGCAATTTTCATGAAAGTTTCTCATACGGCCAAACTCATGCGCCGTTACATGTACTCGTATTTGCGGCACCACCCTTACGAGACATTCCGCGGGGTTGAAACGATTGCATTGTTTTGCCTATTTCTCTTTTATTTCGTAAGAATACCCCACACAAAATATATATATTTGGATTCTCCATAAAATTTACTATAAAACAGCGTCTACACAATGCATCATGTCTATAATTTATTTTAATTACGTTATGGTAAACTCGGGGAAGATAAAAAAAGGCGTTTAGATGGGTAAAATGGAGTATATTTTCAGAATTTTAAAACTTAGAAAACAATAAGTCCACTAGACACCCAATAAAAAAGCGATAACCAATTAAAACATTTAAAAACCCCCAAACATACTGACCCCATTTTTAGGATCGAATTTCAATTGAACAATCCACCATTATGTTTATTATGAGCGGCTCATAAAAAGAACAATTACGCCGCGTGCGAACTTTTCCCACCGGCTCAGATGGAGCCTTATGGCCAAGTATACGTGACAATGGACAATCACGATTGTTCAATGAATTAGCTACTGATAAACAGGCGAATAGCTAGTTTTGAGGCAATTTTAATTGCGATACAACGCGACTGGACTCGCATAACCACAGAAATTAAATAACGCTCTAACTATGATTTTATTTATTTTTTAAGCATTTAACTGCTAGATGTTTAAATCTAAAAAAATGTTTAATTGCTATTTCTTCTTTCAAATGTTTAATACTTGAAAAAGTATTCATCTGACATTGTGGGTTACCTACAATGCGAAGAGATGGCGCTGCCTTGCAGCTTAAGGCTAGGAAAATTTCGACGCGGCTAATAGGGCCGTGGTAGCATAATGGTCAGTGCATTCGCCCGGATAGCGAAGGATGCGGTGAAATATTATCTACTTAACTGTGAAGCCCTCAAACATGAATAGTTTTCGAGATCAAAAATTAAGACGATTAATTTGTCTCATAATTTAAATAACCTCTTTTAACAATCAAATAAGAATCATTAAAAGATGATTTATAAAAAAGTAGTGTTTCGAACATTCAATGATCTTTATAGCAGTCTTGAATTTTTTGCCAATTGTAAGTTGTCATTATTTCATGATAGTAATTTAAAAGTACGTGTAATGACATGTGGGTGGGATAACTTTGTAGCCTACAAGTTCTATTTACATTCGGTCTTTTTTTGTCTCCAGTTCGCATATAAGCTACGAAAATTTTAGTAATTCATTAATGAAACAACACGTTTTTTAAAAAACAACAAGAAAAAATATTACATAGTTCCCTTTATGACAAGATGACTTGATGTACATTTCAAATGACAAATCCAATTTAAAACTGGAATTCCTATGCCTTTAATAATGCTAACATGTTATATTTTAAGCTTAACAATAAGTACTTATTTCCCGAAATAAGTCATATAAGTAAAGAGGGTTATTTAAACATACATAATCATAATCAAAATCATTTATTAAATTTAGGCTGTTACAAGCACTCATGAATGTCTAGAAGCTACGCCATCGGTTCGTAAATCTACGGCGGGAGACCTTGCACTGAGAAGAACCGGCAAGAAACTCAGCAAGGGCTGTTTTCTCTCCCTTATTTTAATAATTATAGAGTTGTTAATTTGAAAAACGACTTCAGAGATGATTCATGAAGTCACCTTTCATTACATACCTAAGGGTCACTCATAACAAATAGCCTACGCCAAGGAAAGCACTGTAGGCTTGTGTAATGGGATACTAGGGTAACGGATAGAATACATATATAAGTATATTTATACAGAAATATATATTAAACATCCATGATTGGAGTACGAATGATCGTATTCATCACACAAAAACATCGACCCCCAAGTGATTCGAACCCGAGACCTCTGGAGTCGGCGACACCATGAAACCCGGCGTACAAATCACTCGACCACGGAGGTCTTTAAATCAAATTTAATGTCATTTTTAATAATCATTTTCATTTTTTTATTACGTATAATAACAGTATCGTCATATTAAAAACATTTCTTAAAGAATAACTACATTAAACACTTATAGTTTTTTCTCTTTAAAACACAGTTTCATTAAAAAAACGTAAACTTGCAATGAACCAGTCTTACGCATAATGGCTATCCGATCTCCATTAAATCCTTACAATTTCGTGGAAAACATGG